CAATAATAAAAACAGTTAAGCGACCGTGCTAGAACCACGGAATTCGGAAATGCCTAACACCTTCTTCCGGATTAACAGAATTCCTTACTCAGGATTTCTGGTTCGCAGAATAATAAACAGAGTCATATTCTCCTCGATTCAGGGATTATAATTGGTGACTTGGGACGCCTTAAAATTCCCAGGTGGCGACTCTGAAACAAATAAACAAATCCCGTTTCGACTGTCCTTCAATTGGAGAAAACTCCCCACGCGCCCCGCGGGCGCGGCGAAAAGGAGGTGCGACAACAATGACTATTTATTTCAACTGTGTATTTTTATTTTTTTTAGGTAAAATCTATAAAACAAAAAATATATTTTTAGAGCACCATAATTTAGAGCTATATAAAAAATTATAGCCAAAATAATTAATTTCAAACTATGTATTTTTATAACTTTTTAGATGCCTTGACTATTTATTTCAATTGTATAAATCTTTATTTTCATGTCAAATTCAAAAAAAGATTAACTAAAACTTTATTATTTTTAACCAAATAAAACAATTTAGCCTAAATAATGTAGTTCTATCCAAATTTTATTATAAATTGTATTCGAAAAAAATTATCTAAAAAGGTAACATACTTAAAAAGGTAAAAATATATTTTATTTTTTTAAAAAACGCCACATATACAGAAAAATCCACGTGGCAGGCGAGTGCACCTACACAATTTGCTATATCAGCGTCCAGGGGGGTAATGACTCTCAAAAGGCCTAGTTGAGGGGGTAATTAAGACCACAAATAGTTTAAGGCTGTAAATAATAATTTGTGACAAATTTAGAAGGGTGATAAGATATTTTACCTATAATTTATCCTAAATCAATAAGAATTTTCTCTCTACTTTTCTATGCAATACTCTTCTCTTCTTTTAATGTTTTATAACACCGTCCTATTTGTTCAAGAAAGCTTTGCTTGGTATGCATTGCCTACGTACCTAAAATAAATAAATAGAAGTCTTATCTATTTAATATTTGAACTTTTATATGAGGTATTTCATACAATTTAACGTATTTTACCACGCTACAGATTCGGTTGAAATCTCATCAAACCCATCAAAACAAAACAAAATTGTGTTTAGTCAAGAAAAAAGTTTCAAAACATACGCGCGAAAACATAATAAAAATGAGCCTAGTGCACAAAGCATCTCACATTCACGTAAGATCCGGAGAAGGACGGTACCTCAAGGAGTGTGATGTAGGCAACCTATCCTAATGCAAGTATCAATAGCTAATTCCACAACTCGAACCTGCGGCTCCCCTGCATTATGCTAGAACATATTGTAGACATGAAATATATAGTCAAACTTCATCTTTTCTTTAAAAATTTAAAATTTTGAATCAGGAGGAAATAAGTTCTTTTCCGAAATTTTTGTGTATTTAACAAGAACCATTACGATCTAAATGGTCATTGCAATATAGATTAAAATCAACTTCCTTTAGGGCATGGAATTGGAAGGAAGCCATGGTTTTAGCCAAACATCCAATGATCCAAATATATGTATATATAGCACCCTTCTTATTGCTTTTGTGGTTGATTAGTCTAGAATTATAGAAGCAGAAATCGGACCAACATAGAAGTGGGAAAAGAGGAAGTAGAAGAGAAGAGATTACTCAATGAATTTAAATCTTATGTACTAATAGTTTAAAAATATTTATATAATCAGATCACTTAAAAGGTAATTGATAAATTAACAAAAATAATCACTAACTTGATATAGAGGCTGATCCAGAAATTTGAATTAATGGGTTTTGGATTTTAGAAAAGGTTTGTTCTGGATAAATTATTTATACATATTTAATAGATTTCTTAACATAAATACAGTTTTTGGCAAAAGTTATCAAGTCCTACCCAATTTGTAGCTAAAACTCTAGCATCGTCTCTGATATAATAGATTAAATTATACTGATAGTACAAAAATAATCTAAGTGTGCTTGTCAAAAAAGGTCATGCAATGATGCACTAACATCATATATGTCTATGGCTAATACACCTTAATTATAGGCTAAAGTATGGCTCCTTAAGCTGTGATTATGACCTTCGCATGTTCATACTTTATTCAAATTACTATGATTAAGCTGTTTTAATCATTCCTACAACAAAATATCTGTATTAATTACAAGCTTCCATTATATTTGCCTAACCTATAGTTCTTCACTAAGAATCAAACATTCTCTTCTCCATTTTCTTGTTTTCTCTTCAGTAGAAAAATAATGGATGAGAGCAGGAAAATAAAACTCAGTCCACTGTTTTTCACAGTCTTGTTTTCATTTTTTATATTTTATGAACAATTTGTGATGGTTAAATCAAGAGGGTGTTGTGGAATAGGCTGGGCCAGCCCAATAACAAGAGGTGAAATAAAGCCCAAGAAATTTTTTGGTCAGAAATTTGAAGGAATATTTTCAGAGGATATCAAAGCTAAAGAGGATTATGGTGGAGAAGATGATGATTTTGATAATTTTTATAGNATATATATATATATAATACCTATCTCAGCTTCTTGAAAATGCACTATACTCTATGTGCATTTACAAAATTTTGCTTTTTACTAAGCTTAAAGTCATGACTGCATAGAAATTGTACTTAATGCTCATCTTATTTTATATTTCTGCCACCATATTGATATTGTGTATGGTAAGTTGAGAATTTGAAAATGAATTGGTTCTTTTGTTTTGGTTTTCCACCAGTCTCCGCTACCCGCATTGGGGCCTTATTAAATTCGGATTCGCGCCCGAAAGTCTCATATTGAGGGGTAAAGTGCTCCCTAACAAAGGCGATTCCATACTCAGTTCTCGAACTCGAGAACTCTGATTAAGGATAATACAGTACTTACCGCTCCACCACAACTCTTATTGTTGTCGAAAAAATTCGGTTGGATTGGTCTGACCAAGAAAGGCATGGGGTTGGTACTGGATATTCCCAGAGTCGGGACTTTATGTAGGTTTTGCTTCACATGTTATAATTTAAGCTTTTTCAGATTATATTCGTACATATCATTAGATTTCATAGTTAAAAATATAAAGTTTTGATCTAGAAAAAATCTTAAGCTGCCCTTAGGAAAAGGTTTATTTCTTTATACATTTCACTTAACCCCTTAAAAGACTTGATCTCAAATGTGTAATAATATTCTTTTGCTTTTCCCCTCTTTTCTTGTTGGGCAAAATACAAAATTGTCCAGTCGGCCAAAACTAATTGTATTCGTTAGCAAGAAAGTGTATAAAATATGTATATAATATACATATATACAAATAAATATAGTATATTTTATCAGTATTATTTTTTGGAGTGATATATATATATATATATATATATATATATATATATATATATATATATATATAGACACATACACAAAGACACTTCACTGTAATACTATAACGTATATATAACTTGTTATAGTATATATGTTAGTATGTGTATATATATAACACACATACTTCGTGCTGCTTTAACTACATATATAACATGTTATAGTATATGATACTGTATTCATTATTTGTATTATAACAGACTTAATAAATTACATTCATGTATATTTGATGAAAAATTATATATACTAATTAGGATTTTGAAAGATATATCTTGGGGACCTGGGCTTCAGGTCACAACAATGTCTAAGTATGTTGTGAATGGTTATAAGTTTCATAAAGAGGATTGCTCTAAAAATAAAAATAGCAACAACAACGAGGTGTGGNTATATATATATATATTTTAGTGGTTAGCCATAACTGTGTGATATGTCACAACATTTACAAATATTAGTATATAGTCAATTAACTTAAAGAGATGCTTGTCAAGGGACTTATCTATTTTGCCAAATTTGGTCATGAAGAGAATGCCTTCCACTCAGCAATTGAACAAGTCCTTATTTGGACTTTTCTATTAACTTAGTGGGCAGCCATAAAGCCATTAGACAAATATGTAAAAGAGTTGTCATGTTGCTATATAAAAACAAAGGTCCTTAACTATACAACACAAGTCTTAGTTCTTCCCTTCCCTTCTCCAATTATAGTTGGTTTGCAAAATCAAAATGACAACTTCTGGGATATTGGGACAATGGCCCCTACTTGCATTTACTTTGGCAATTTGCTTAGTAGCAACTACTGTTGTTGCTGATTACTCTTATGGCTACACTTCTCCCTCGCCCTCTAAGTACTACAAATCACCATCGCCGTCAAAGTACCATGCCCATGTAACGGTCTCTTACAGACATTATCCTTCACACTATTACAAGTCGTCTTCGCCATCAAAGTACCATAGCCATTCACCAAACGTTTACAAATCACCTCTACCTTTGAAGCATGAATATTACAAAGCACCAAAACCAACAAAATATTACAAATCGCCTCTACCTTTGAAGCACGATTACTACAAAGCACCAAAACCTACAAAATATTACAAATCACCTCTACCTTTGAAGCATGATTACTACAAAGCACCAAAACCAACAAAATATTACAAATCTCCTGCTCCTTCAAAGTACAACTACAAGTCACCGTCGCCGACTAAGTATTACAAGTCACCTACTCCTTCAAAGCACTACTACTATAAGTCACCATCACCAGCAAAATATTACAAATCACCTGCTCCATCGAAATACAACAAGCCAGTACCACCAACAAAATATTATAAGTCACCAGTTTACTACAAGTCTCCACCACCACCAGCTTATTATGAGAAATCGCCTTCTTATTACAAGTCACCTCCACCCCCTCCAAAATACTATGAACATTTACCCTCCTATTACAAATCTCCCCCACCTCCACCAAAATACTACGAGCAGTCATCGTCTTCTTACAAATCTCCCCCACCTCCACCAAAATATTACGAGCAGTCACCTTCATACAAGTCTCCACCTCCACCACCAAAATACTACGAGCAAATACCTCCAACTTACAGTGCACCACCTCTACCAAAAATCTCTGAACAATTACCATCATATTATAATTCACCACCACCACCATCGACAAACTACAATAAGCAAACTTCTACCTATGCATCAACTCCCCCACTTGAAAAGTACGATCAATCTCCCACCTACAGTTCACCTCCACCTCCATTACCGTCACCTCCACCAACCTACTACTAATTAATATTCAAGTCATTCGCCTCCAAAATAGCTATCATTTCCTTGCTTTCAACTTCTTAGCAAACACTTGTTTGGAGCGTCTCCCATTATTGTTCTACCTCAGTCCTAAACTACATGTATGCTTACAGAAATGATCATCTTTCATTGGTGTTATTTTACAATTTGTATTTGATATCTAATTAAGATTATTGAGAGCTATATTGATTCGGCTCATTGTATTAAGCTCTTTTTGAATTTAATCTCTTGAGAATTCTACTTTGCTTCTTATATATTCTTTGATAAGAATGGACCTTGGACCTAACTCAACCCCAAAAGCTAGCTTATGAGGTGAGAATTACCCAAGCCATATAAGGAGACCAAGGACCTCAAATCCCTCCGATGTGGGGCAACTCAACATTCTTTACTTCTTTGTCTAATACTGTTTGTCTCAATAAAGTTACTTCTTTCACCGGCCTACCAAAAAACATCCCGCAATAATGGGCATGGAGACAATTTTCGAAATCCAATCAAACTAATCTACACTCTAATGAAATCAATATAACAGTAATAAGACAATTAAAGAGTGGATGATATCAACTTGAAATGTCATACATAATATAATAAAGAAAAAGAACAAATATGCTGGCAGAGGACCCTACTCGAAATAAGTTTTAAATGTTTTTCCTTACGGGAAGTTTCGGATTAGAACTTGTTTTGATAGCCTTTCAGAGGAGTGAAACATCAGGCAGAAGGGATATACAGTTCTAGCCAGCCTTATCTTGCAGGTGATGTCGACGTCGAGTCTTGCAGGTGACATCGACGTTGAGTTGATGGCAGAAGTGAGCCACTCGGTGGTGCAGTACATAGTGGGTTTAATAGGTCACACACAAACAAATGGCTCTGAAACAAATAAAAAGGTGCAACAATCTATACCCGGACTGAAAAATTGTTGAAATTTTAATTTGGCTCTACCATAACCATAAGCATGCATAAATTAAGGAGATGTATGAAAAAAATATCAAATAGCGAAGAAATGCATTAATTTCAAAAAAGAAATATTGCAATACTCATTTTACTTAATTGGAAATACAAGTTGCTAAATGTTTCTCTAATCCCTTTGGACAACATTTGGTTGAAGATGAAAATACATTATTCAAAATTGAAGTTGAAAAATAATTACGTTTGTTTTGTAAGCACAGCTTTCCTCTGGATCTTATATATGCGTTAAAAAATCTACTAGATATTTAAAAATAGGCCAAATACATCGACAACCCCTTAAAGTTGTCCGTACTTTTCACTTAGACACTTTATCTTAGGTCCGTTCCATTTGAATATTTCAACCAAGTCTTTACTGTGTCATTTAGACACAATATGCTGGCATGGCAAGGTAAGTGTTTCTCACATTTTCCAAGTGGTGAAATCATTTCAAAAAACAAACTCCACATACTTCTTGTCGGAAAATGTACAGCTTCTGCGGGGAAATTTTCCGACCATCTTCTTAGCCCAATTTTTTTTAGACTTGTTCACACCAATATAAGTATATCCTTCTTTAGATCTGGGCACACCATCACCACCTTTAAACCTGGCCACCTGTGAAAAAATAAAGTAAAGTGATTTTTTGAAAAAATATAGAATTCTCTAGAATGTCCTAGTGAAGTATCCTTGATATTTAGTAGACATATCTAGATGTTCTAGAATGTTGTGGGAAGATAAGGTTATCTATTAGAGACATCTAGATATTCTAGAGTATTATGGAAAGATAAGGTTCACTAGATTTTTCTTGTACATGTTCTAGAATATTATCTAGAACCATCCTTAGAGAAGTATAAATAGGGGTGGTCTTAGGCATTTGTAAGCAAGCCAAAATCAAGAAAGCCTTCTTTCCTAAATAAGTTCTCCTATCTAAAATCTCTCTTCTCTTTTCAAGCTTCCTCTTCTTTAGTTGAATCCTCCAATCTTGATTAACGATCTTGGGCTAGCAGAAGGTCTCCGAATAATACTCTTCTTCTGCTATTCTTTACATGGTATCAGAGCCATAAGTCGGCTTCTGGATTTCAAGGTCGGGTTAGTGGTTGATTCAACTGGTTTCTCTAAATGGATTTGGGTGGTCGTGCTAATGGACTGGAGATGGAATTATTGAACCAGTCCAACTACAAGGTATGGAAGAGTTGTATGGAGTCATACCTTGTAGGTGAGGATTTGTGGGAAGTTGTCAATGAGAGCAACACAAGTCCTCTTGCTGACGCACCGAAAAATAGCAATGCACGTAAGAAGTGGAAGCAGATTAATGCTAAGACGGAGTTTGTCCTAAAGAGGTCCATCTCTCCTAATTTATTTGATCATATTATAAGGTGTAAATCAGCTCATGAAATATGGAGGACCTTCGATCGGCTGTTCAACAAGAAGGATGAAGCTCGGCTACAGATTTTGGAGAATGAGTTAGCTAACACCACTCAAGGTAATCTCTCGATCGCTGAGTATTTTTTGAAGGTTAAAAATCTGTGTTCTGAATTTTCTCTATTGAATCCGGACGAGGCTATCTCTGAAGCACGAATAAGAAGAATTATTATTCGTGGCTTAAAGCCAGAATACATTCCCTTTGTTACTTCGATTCAAGGATGGGTTCAACAACCATCTTTGGAAGAATTTGAGAATTTTCTATCGTCACAAGAGCTATTAGCCAAACAGATGGTTGATGTATCTATCAAAGAAGGGGAAGGAAATGTTCTAGTTGTCGATAAGAGGAACTTTAAAGGGAAATCAAGAGATAGCATGCACTTTCAATCCTCAAGTGGTTCGAGCTCGCCAGGAAAGAAGGGGGAGTCTTCCAGCAACGGTAAAAAGCCTTTAAAATATTACCGTTGTGGAAAAGTCGGGCACATAAAAAGATATTGTCGAGCCAAAGAGTGCAATATAGCTCAAATCAAGAAAGTTGTTGAAGAAGAAGAAAAAGAAGAAGACTGGGGAAAGTGCTTCACAGCAGAGACTCGAGCAATAAATGCCATGGCTTCCATAAATTTTGAAAGAAACTGGATTGTGGATTTAGGATGTGGGCACCATCTCACTAGAGATCAATCCAAATTCTCCACCTTTCGCGAATACAACGGCCATGATGTCATTGTTACAGCAGATAATACAGTAAGGTACTGTTGTGATCAACGAGAAGCAAAAAGGCACTATCACCCTCAACAGTGTCTTTCACATTCCAGGTATGAAGAAAAATCTATTTTCAGTTGCAAATGCTGGAAACTATTTGCTATTTAGCCCACGTGATGTGAAGTTCCTCGAAATATCAAGGTACTCAAGACAGATATCGTTCACTCAGGTAAGAGAGTTAACGATTTATATGTCTTATCTGCCTCTAATTCATATATTGAGAAGATGAGTAGCAATAATAATACACATCTTTGGCATGCTAGACTTGGACATCTAAGCATGGATAATTTAAATGCCATGGTAAAGTTGAATCTAGTAAAAGGTTTGCCTAACTTAAGAAATTTTGATGGAGGATAGGTTTGTGAAGGATGTCAATATGGAAAGGCACATCGTCTTCCATTTGACAGATCCTTATCAAGGTGCAATGCCCCACTAGAACTTATTCACAGTGACTTGATGGGGCCAACGAGAACTCCTTCATTTTCAAGCTACTCTTATATGCTAATTTTCATTGATGATTTTACTAGATTCACTTAAATTTATTTTGTGAAGCACAAGTCAGAAGTTTTCAGTAAGTTTGTGGAGTTCAAAGAAACTGTTAAAGGTGAACTAGATTCCAGAATAAGGCGGCTACGAACTGATAATGGCGGTGAGTTTATATCAGATAAGTTTCTTTCCTTTTGTCGTCAGCATGCCATTAAAAGAGATCTGACATGCACTGATACGCCACAACAAAATGGAGTGGCTGAAAGGAAGATCCTACACTTAACTGAGACATGTAAGAGTTGGCTTCATGCCAAGAATTTTACTAAAGCCTTGTGGGCTGAAGGTATGAAATGTGCAGTGTACGTGATTAACAAGATGCCGCTTTCTCAAAATAATATGAAGTTTCCCTATGAATTAATGTTTGGAGAAAAGCCTAGCGTGAAGCACCTCAGGGTTTTTGGTTCTATTTGTTATGTTCACATTTCGGATTCTCAACGGAGCAAGTTAGATGCCAAGGCAAGGAAATGCATCTTTGTCGGATATGATGAAAGGAAAAAGGGATGAAAGTGCATGGATCGTAAAACTCATCTCTTTGTTGTTTCAAGGGATGTCATATTCGACGAAGTCTCTTTGTATTATGGAGTTGCGCAAGAAGGGGCAGGTTATAAACCCATGAACCCTGAAACATCAAATCTGCCTAACACAAGTACTTCTTTAGATAATACAGTTGTTGAGGAGCTAAGAGAAAGTGGGAGCCCGAGAACTCAACTACATGAAACTCAACAAGAAGATGATTCATGTGGTTCAGGAAGACCAAAACGAACTATTGTCAAGCCAGCTCGTTTCAGAGATGAAAATTTCGTCAGCACATACTCATGTTCTTTTGCAAGACCAATTGAAGAACCTTCAGTATTTGGGGAAGCAAGACGAGCCAGAAATATAGTGCTGAGATCTTCACCAAGACACGTCTTAAAGAATCGGTTGAGTTCTTCCGCGACAAGTGTGAGATAGCTTCCAAAAAATCACTTTAAGGGGGAGTGTGAGAAAAATAAAGTAAGTGATTTTTTGGAAAAATATAGAATTCTCTAGAATGTCCTAGTGAAGTATCCTTGATATTTAGTAGACATATCTAGATGTTCTAGAATGTTGTGGGAAGATAAGATTATATATTAGAGACATCTAGATATTCTAGAGTATTATGGAAAGATAAGGTTCACTAGATTTTTCTTGTACATGTTCTAGAATATTATCTAAAACCATCCTTAAAGAAGTATAAATAGGGGTGGTCTTAGGCATTTGTAAGCAAGCCAAAATCAAGAAAGTCTTCTTTCCTAAATAAGTTCTCTTATCTAAAATCTCTCTTCTCTTTTCAAGCTTCCTCTTCTTTAGTTGAATCCTCCAATCTTGGGCTAGCAGAAGGTCTCCGAATAATACTCTTCTTCTACTATTCTTTACACCACCATCATAAAGTTCTCATTTTTCCTCTCATTTTGAAGATCTAGTTGGCCGCTGCAATTCTGGTCATAAAAGTAGCAACGTCCCTACCTGCCTACCTCATCTTCACTATTATCTTCCACCATGGATGGCACAAACAAGAACTGTGACAAGAGCCCTCTCATTTTCACTCGTCCGGCGGAATTTTATTTTTTCCGATGAAGTTTCATTTTTTTCTCAACAGTTAAATGTTACTTGAATCAGAACCGGCTAGATTCAGGCTGATCTGGCCGGAAATAACAAGTTTTTGGCAACCCTTTTGCATTGGTGTCTTTTTCTCCTCGTTTTTTCTTTTTATTTTTGTCTATAAGTTATAGATCTAAAGGACTAAAAACATATGGTGAAACTCCACCATTTTTTAATCCGGTCGGAATTTTATTTCCGGCAACTTTGTGGTTTGGTTGGATATTCGTTTTTTCGGCAACCTTCATGCTTATGTTCGTTGATTTTTATGATTGAGTCCCATCTTTGGTACATTTAGATTGGGTTTGATTTCACTATCCTCAACTATTGCATTATATTCTGTTTGTTTGCCAATGATTTTATTGGTCGTTTGATGCTGCATTTTGAAGGGGAAAAAAATGACCAAGGGTCATTGGGGAAGATGACAGACGGGTGGGGTTAAGGTAAAATACACGTGTCTTTGTCTTATTCGTCAATCTAGCATGTGAATTACACGTTCCTTTTGTGTTTGGCGGCCTAAGAATTTTGTGTTCAAATGACATATTTGACTTGTGCTTGGAGTTTTCAAATGGAACAGACTTAAGATAGAGTGTCTAAGTGAAAAGTTTGGACAACATAAGGAGTTGTCGATGTATTTGGCCTTAAAAATATTTAGCTTTAACATGAGTGAGCTTACCGGTGGAAGCGAAACAGTACCCTAGCCTTTTTGATCCTTTATTATGGATATCAAAACAAGGGATTACTTCGCTCCTGTTTAACCAAAACAACAACAAGAACTCTTCAAATCCAAAAAAGTTAGGATCGGTTATATGAATCCTCACTGATCATGCCACTATCTGTATTGTGAAGATACATATTAGATTGACTAATTTTAAGCTAACAACTTCCCTCAATCCGGACCAGCAATATGAGCTTGCTTACATAGGCACAGTTTACTTTTCAACGAAAGTTAGGAAAGAGAAAAAGGCACGAACATCTTCTTTCTTGACAAAGGATAAAATCAAACTTTGTGGTCTACCATAACTTTGTGTATACAACTCACAAATTAGCAAATGATTAATTATTTGGACTTTTGTATTAACTTAGTGGGCAGCCATAAAGCCATTACACAAATATGTAAGAGGTTGTCATGTTGCTATATAAAAGCAAAGGTCCTTAACTATACAACACAAGTCTTTAGTTCTTACCTTCCCTTGTCCAATTATAGTTGCCTGCAAAATCAAAATGAGAAGCTTTGGAAATATGGGGCAATGGCCCCTACTCGCATTTGCTTTGGCAATTTGCTTAGTAGCAACTACTGTTGTTGCTGATTACTCTTATGACTACACTTCTCCCTCACCCTCTAAGTACTACAAATCACCTTCGCCGTCAAAGTACCATGCCCAGGTAACGGTCTCTTACAAACATTATCCTTCACACTATTACAAGTCGCCTTCGCCATCAAAGTACCATAGCCATTCACCAAACGTCTACAAATCACCTCTACCTTTGAAGCATGATTATTACAATGCACCAAAACCTACAAAATATTACAAATCACCGCTACCTTTGAAGCATGATTACTACAAAGCACCAAAACTAACAAAATATTACAAATCGCCTGCTCCTTCAAAGCACAACTACAAGTCACCATCACCGATTAAGTATTACAAGTCACCTGCTCCTTCAAAGTACTATTACTACAAGTCACCATCACCAACAAAATATTACAAATCACCCGCTCCATCGAAATACAACAAGCCACAAACACCAACAAAATATTATAAGTCACCTATTTACTACAAGTCTCCACCACCACCAAAGTATTACGAGGAATCATCTTCTTATTACAAGTCACCTCCACCCCCACCGAAATACTACGAGCAGTCATCGTCCTCTTACAAATCTCCCCCGTCTCCACCAAAATATTACGAGCAGTCACCTTCATACAAGTCTCCACCTCCACCACCAAAATACTACGAGCAAATACCTACAACTTACAGTGCACCACCTCTACCAAAAATCGATGAACAATTAACATCATATTACAATTCACCACCACCACTATCGACAAACTACAATAAGCAAACTCCTACCTATGCCTCACCTCCCCCACCTGAAAAGTACGAGCAATCTTCCCCCTACAGTTCACCTCCACCAACCTACTACTAATATTCAAGTCATTCGCCTCCAAAATAGCTATCATTTCCTTACTTTCAACTTCTTAGCATACTCTTGTTTGGAGCGTCTCCCATCATTGTTCTACCTCATTCCTAAAGTACATGTATTATTTATTATATTTTATGTTTTGCATTTGATGTCTAATTAAGATCATTGAGATCTATATTGATTCGGCTCATTGTATTAAGAACTTTTTGAATTAATCTCTTCAGAATTCTACTTTGCTTCTTATATATTGTCTACTTCTTTGTCTGATATTGATTGTCTCTATAAACTTAATTCTTTCACCGGCCTACCAAACAAAAACATGTTAACATGTCAACACATTCCATTACGAAAACAAAGAGACATCATGTTAACATGTCCTTTTTCCTTTTGGAGCACACTACTTTGGGAATTTTGCACGTCATAGGGGCGAATCTAGTTCTTTTGACTCTATATTCATTCAAATCCAGTATTTTCAACCCAAAGTATAAATTTTTTATGTGAAACCTCACAAACATTTCAACAACTATAAAATCTGAACCCATTATTTTTGAATATACAATGAATTCATTCAATACAAAAAATCTTAAAGGTCGAATCCGTCAAGTTAATTTTGAATCCGTAATGATGTGCACGTGATTTTTCTTTTTCTTTTTGATGCTAGACTGCATTTCATTTCATTATATGGAAAATTTCTGGTTGACTTCAGGGACGGATGTAGTGTGTTACCAACGTTTTCAATTGAATCAATAACTTCCGACGCGGAGTAAAAATTTATATGTAAAAGTTCATTAAAATTGCTAAAATAGTATATAGATGAACCCACAAATTTTAAAATATAATGGGTTCAATGCTCAAAATCCTTAAAATTAAACTCATAGAACTTAAATCCTAGATTCGCTTCTGGTTGACTTGTCGCATTGCCAATTTAATGGCGAGATGGATAGTTCAGTTTTTCAAAGAAGAAAATAGGAAAGACGAGAAAAAGGATAAATTTAAGTTAGAATCTATGGCTCGTGTAACAAGAAGGCGATTATGAGTCTCCACCATAAGGCGATTCACCTTAAGGCGATTTCATTGAAAAAGGATAAATTTATGTTAGAAGTCTCCACCACCACCAGCTTATTATGAGAAATCACCTTCTTATTACAAGTCACCTCCACCCGTTCCAAAATACTATGAACATTCACCTTCCTATTATAAGTCGCCTCCACCCCCATCGAAATATTACGAGCAGTCACCATTTCTTACAAATTTCCCCCACCTCCACCAAAGTATTATGAACAACCATATTCATACAAGTCTCCACCTCCACCACCAAAGTACTATGAGCAATCACCAACTTACTATAAATCACTTCCTCCACCATACTACAAATCTCCTCCACCCCCACCCAAATACGTCAAGCAATTACCTACTACTTACAATGCACCACCTCTACCAAAAATTGATGAACAATTACCATCCTACTACAAATCACCACCAATAACAACAACAAGCTACTACAAGCAAACTCCCACCTACGCATCACCTCCCCCGCCGGTAAAGTACGAGCAGTCTCCCACCTACAGTTCACCTCCACCACCAGCCTACTAGTAATTGATATTAAAGCCATTCTCCTCTATAATTTCCATCATCTCCTTGGCTTTTAACATCTTTGCATCTCCATTTATTTTTCTACCTTGTTCCTAAGTTGTATGTATGGCTTTAAAATGATCAGATCTAAGTGGTGTGTTTTATTTTATTGTATAAGTTGTTTTGATATCGAAGATCCTTGTGATCTTCATTGATTTACCTCATTGTATCAATTTTTTTAATGTAATTCCTTGAGAATTCTACTTCGCTTCATACATTACATCCTCATACTTATGCTCCTACTTTCCTTCCAGTACTACACCATTCTTGATGGCTCCAACAATTGTCATCTTCTTGTTTCGTCGTCCTCTATATGGTTTTTGGACTAGTGATTTGTTCGCTCGATGAGTGACTATATTTATCATGTCAAAGTTGACATTTTGAACATCCTTCAAACAGCCAAACTAATTCATCAACAAAAGCAAGGATTGAACTATAGTAGTATGATGTCTTAACTAGTAGAATGAAGTATTCCTGCTTATTGTTCAGTTAAAAGGATAAAGTCAAGATACCTTAAGACCATCACTTTACCTAGACGTAATAGAAGATAGCACTTCACAATTAATCAATAGAAACCTAAACTTATTGCAGGTAATCCAAGTTACACTGATTGAATCCCTTACCAAAAAAGTTGCTCCGATTTAGGGCTGGCAAATGGGCGAGTCGGGTCAGATATGGGACTGGTCGAAAGCGGGTAATGAAAAAACAAATAAATAATATGACCCAACCTATATTTAATACGGATAAAAAACGGGATAACTGGCAGATGACTTCTTGAATATGATCACTTTTGGGAGAATTTCTAGTCTCCCAAACTTGAGAAACCCCCAATTTGAGTCTTTACAAATGTAAAAGTTAAACTCATTAGTTATCCATTTTCTAAATGGATAATATGGTTCTTATCGATATTTGACCCGTTTTTAAAAATTTCATTATCCAACTCATTTTTTAGTGGATAATATAGATAGTTAACTGCTTTCTTTTAACCATTTTGCCACCACTACTCTAATTGAATAAAGATAAGGTTTTTCTAATCACAACCTAAAGGTCTGTTAGGGCTCAATTGTACTAAGAAAATCACAAAATAATAAGTAAGATAAAGTACCAGTTGCTACAGAAAGGGGCATTCAGATGTGCACCAGATACTTTATTTGTGAGTTAAGCGATAAGCTAAGTTGCTCGACTCGGTTGCGGGTATCCGATACGGGCATGGATCTGAGTGTCGGATTCGGCAAAATCTAAATTTTAAGATTCGGGGGTGCAGATCCAGGTTGGACACGGGAGCAGGGATTCGGCTAAGAAAATTCAAAATTATAAAAAAAAAATAGAACTATAAATATTTTATAAATTTTGAGAGATATTTTGTGAAAAGCTTATATGAATATTGTAGAATTGAATTCTTGGTTTTTCTGAAACACTAGGCAACAAATATGAGACAAAAAAAACTATAATGTAAAAGGTATGTCATTTCTCATGTCTTAAATCTATTTTATTTTTAATTTTGACAAATCAAAATCTCAATTTTTCCTTCAAATTTGTCGATGAACTCGGGTCAAAGTATCCGAAGTTAGTTGACCGAATCCGGGATGTATCCCGTGTTGAAGTTTGGCAAAATGCCAAAGTCCCACATTGGTTGGGAGTTAAGTTTGGGGGGGAT